AAATTACTAAAATGTATATAAAAATACTGTAAAAAGAAAATTTTTTTTTTTGAGAAATTATACAAATATAAAAATATTGTAAAAAGAAATATAAAAAATTAAATATTGATAAATTATCCAAATACATATATTACATATAATAAAAAAATAAATACATATATCTAAATCTAAACCTCTCTCTCTCTCTCTCTCTCTCTCTATATATATATATATATATATTTATTTATTTCACTTTTTTTTTATTATATTATTATATTGTAAGAAATTATAACATCATATAAACACACACACACACACACACACACACACACACACACACATATATATATATATATATACACACACACACACATTTTTATATACAAAAATGTAAAAGCAAAACTGAATAAAGTTTTTAATGGTTTATCCTATGCACCTAACAATCACATACAGGTGTGCGAAGGTAATTGTTGATTGATATATACAAAAAAAATTTAAATTGAACATTTTGTATTCAGATAATACAATGATGCCAATTAAGCACAAACAGTCTTTGTTCTTTGAGCAAAGTATATTTGAATTCTTTTGATTTCAGGGTGAAATATGGCCTGCACATTTTCTTGGCAAGTTTCATAAGAGTCACCCATAGACAGACCCTGACGATACACAGCAGCACACACACAAACACACGTATTCACACTCTAAATGGTTTTCTTGGCGTAGAGGCGCTTTTGGAGACGGGAGAACTCTTTAACGAGCTGCCGGCGTCAGGAGAGGATGGCGTACAGGGAGAGCGCAGAGTCTCCCGAGTCCTCGTATCGCACGAGGAGCCGTGTCTCCAGGACAGTTCATCTGTTAGACTTTTTAAAATACGTAAACTTTAGAAAAATATTTACATCATTTAAAAAGTACATGCAATTTTTTTATTTTAATATTTACATATTTTTGAGCTACATAAACATATTACAAATATTCACATTGCATGTAAATGTTTTGAAATGTAAACATTTTCAATACATATCTTTAAATATATGTAAATATGAGAAAAATATTAATACTTTAAAAAAGTTTTTATTTTTCATATCTAAATATTTTTTAAAGTATTTACTTATTTTTTATATTTACATATTCTTTTAAAAACATATGTAAAAAAATATATATATTTAAATCTATATATGTAAATATGAAAACCTCAAAAATATTTGTATGCATAAAAGTACAGCATGTCAAGTATTACAAGTGAAGACATTTTGTATTATAATTACACTACGCACACGATGCGACGGTGAAAGCAGCTTCAGTGTACCTCACACATGCTACAATG